TTCTTTGTTTAAAAATTAGTAATATGAGCCAGCCACTTATAATCCTATCTACAAGGATTCTGCTAGTAAGGATCACAATTGAAAGCCAGCCCGGGAGGGCTGGGAAGGTGGCTCAGTGGTAGAGTGCTTGCCTTGCATGCATGAGGCCCTGGGTTCAATTCCTCAGCACTACATAAGCAGCAGGAAAAAAAAGAAAAGCTGGAAATGGCGCTATGGCTCAAGTGGTAGAGCGCTAGCTTTGAGCTGAAGAGTTGAGGGACAGCACCCAGGCCCAGAGTTCAGGCCCCACGACCGGACCCCCCTCAAAAAAAGAAAGCCAGCCCGGGGGCGGGGGGGCGGGGGATATCTATTGAGATTTAATCTGCTAAATAAGCAGGAAAAAGTAGGACTGGAGGCATAGCTCAAGTGGTAGAGCCAGCCAAATGAGCTTGCACAAGGTTTCGATTAAAACTTCCAGGGCTGCTAAAACAAAATTACTAATAATTTGTCAATATCTTCATTTTTGCTGGGGCTCGGGTTTGAATTCAAGGTCTGGGTGCTGTCTTTGACCTTCCTTTGCTCAAGGGTAGTGTTCTACCACTTGAATCACAGCTTCACTTTGGGCTTTGTGGTCCTTTCCTGCCTGAGCTGGCTTCAAACAGCAAGCCTCAGATCTCAGCCTACCGAGTAGCTAGGATTAGGAGGTGTGAGCCCAGCATGAATATCTTCTTGTACTAAAAGACTCAAATAATACAAGAGTTGTCCACCATGTCAGAAAATGGTGTTATAGAAAGTATTATCATAATTAAACTTAAACATGACTATCCACCCCTTTTTTTCTCTTCCAGACATCAGCATTCTCCCTCCGCGTGTGTGTGTGTGTGTGTGTGTGTGTGTGTGTGTGTGTGTGTGTGTGTGTGTGTGTGTGTGTGTGTGTGTGTGTGTGTGTGTGTGTGTGTGTGTGTGTGTGTGTGTGTGTGTGTGGTGGGGCCTGGGCGTTGTTCTTAAAAATCCACTTCTGTTTGTTTGCTTTGATGCTTAATTGGAGACTTTCCTTCCCTGGGCTGCTTTCAGGCTGGGATCCCCAGATCTCAGCCTCCTGAGTAGCAAGGACTACAACTGTGAGTCACCAGCATCCTGGCTTTGAACCACGATCCTCAGATCTCAGCCTCCTGAGTAGGTAGGTTTACAGGTGTGAGCCACCGGTGCCCGGCTGCCTGTATTTTACAAAAATGAATCACCCTATGCATTTCCAGGTGTTTGTCAACAGACCCCAGATATTCAGTTTTTCCAAATACAAAGATTATCATACTGTTATTTGGAATGGTGTGGAATTTCTCTAATTTTCATCAGAAACCCAACAGAGTGACTCCAATCCAAAATAAATGAATAAATGATGTTATTTCAAAGAATTTCTGAAAAAAAGTAGAGATTAAGATGTGTGAACAGTTTATGCTTTGCTTTTGCCAGTCCTGAGGCTTGAACTCAGTGCCCAGGTACCATCCCTGACCTGGTGTTGCTGCTACTCCTTTTTTTGGTGGGGTGGGAGGTGAGGGCAGTGGTTGTGGGACTTGACCTTTGGGCCTGGGCACTGTCACTGAGCACTGTATTATTTGAGCCACAATGCCACTTCTGGCTTTTTCCATTTATGTGGTACTGAAGAATTGAATCCAGGACTTCATGCATGCTAGGCAAGCACTTTACCATTATGTCACATTCCCAGCCTTGACAGTTTTTGGATAAACTGAGGAGAGGAGAAAAGTTTTCTAGGAAGGCTCCAAATCATGTTGGGGAATCAATGGTTGAGAAGATGAGAAGTATGTATATTTCACTAGGTGCGCTATTGTGTGCTTGTGTGTGTGTGTGTGTGTGTGTGTGTGTGTGTTCTAGGAGACTTGAATGCTTGGCTTTTTCAGTCAAAGCAGGTGTTCTACCATTTCAGCCACACCTCTACTTCTGGCTTTTTGCCACAGACTTGTCTATTGGAGTTGGCTTTGAAGCTTGATCCCCAGAGCATCTCAAACTCCTGAGTAGTCAGGGCTTCAGTTATGTGTCATTAGTGCCCAGCTTGCATGTTTTAGTTTAAAGAATCAGAACCGACTTTTAATCAATGTAATGGATGTGGTCAAAAATCAATCGAAAAAAATGAATTGGTTAGAAATTATGGAATCTCAAGGTCCAAACTCTAATTCTTTGTGGATAAAATCAAATCCCCTCTCCACTCCCAATTCTTATCTAGGGGAATCTTTCTGAAAAAAAGTGCATCACAATTCACGGTTCTCTATATAGATGTTACTGTCTTCTTTTCCACCCCGAACCCAGTGAGCAGGATGGAAATCTGTGGGAAGGTTTTTCTTACTACAGTGATGAGTAGGCATGGCAGCAACACTCCTGCAATTTCTGCACAATGAAGACTATTCTCTCCTATCAGACACTTAAGTGGATAAAAAAATCTGATTATAATAATTTTGCATTTATGCTGGGTACTAGTGGCTCACATCTGTAATCCTAGCTACTCAGAAGGCTGAGATCTGAGGATCATGGTTCAAATCCGCCCTGGTCAGGTAAAGACTCTTCACTTCAATTAACCATCCAAAAGCCAGAAGTAGAATTGTGGCTCAAGTGGTACAGTGCTAGTCTTGAGCACAACACCTCAGGGACAGCACCCAGGCCCTGAGTTTAATCCCCAGGTCCAGCACGCGCATGCACGCACACACGAAAGCGCACACACACACGCACACGCACATGCACGCACGCACACGCACCACCCCAAACAAATAAATACAATCTGTCTTATTTGCAATGATTAGTTTTGTCAGAAACAAGGTTTTAGAAATCTAGTTTAAATTTTTTTTTTTTTTGGTCGGTCATGGGGCTTGAACTCTGGGCCTGGGCTCTGTCCCTCAGCTCTTCAGCTTAAGGCGAGCGCTCTACCACTTGAGCTACAGCGCCACTTCCGGTTTTCTGGTGGTTTATTGGAGATAGGAGTCTCACGGTCTCTCCTGCCCGGGCTGGCTTTGAACCGCGATCCTCAGATCTCAGCCTCCTGAGTAGCTAGGATTACAGGCGTGAGCCACCAGCGCCCGGCTAGTTTAAATATTTTTTGTTGTGCTCAGGAGATAATTGAAGGAGTCAACCCTCTTGGGCCACACAGATCATGAGTTGACTTACCTCAACAGAGCTGGATCTTCCAAGGGAGGCACTTCGTACTTTACCAAATGCCCTCTTATCATCCACACCACTACGCTCCAGTGTCCTACTTCCTTACCACTGTCATGGGAATATTTCCTTTGGGGTCTAGAATCCATTCTTTGAACTGTTCCTCCAAAGCCTGTTTCCGCACATTGACCACCTTGGCTTTCACTGCGTGTACTTGTTCTCTTTGTTCTCTATTCTTTTTAAAATTCTCCCTCATTCTGGATACTCTGAAGGATATAGGGATAGAGAACATGTTAGGACTCTTGGATTTGATTCAGGCAAAATATAAACATTTAGAGCTTCATTTAAACTTTGTACCTGGTCTTTTCCCAGTGATCTTATTGATTGATTTATGGATGGATTGATTTAGCCTTTGGTGGTGCTAGAGTTTGAACTCAAGGCCTCCAGCTTGCTAGGCTGGCATGAAACGACTGAGCCAAAACCCTAGTCTTGTTTTTCCCTATTTAGTTTTAGGATAAGGTCACTCCTGCTCAGGCATACGCCTGAGCGGAAATGCACCTAAATTTAGGCTTCCCATGAATGCTGGGATGACAGCTTCCTTCCATGGAGTCGGAAGGACTTCTCTGCCTGGGCTGCTCTGGTATGATCCCCCTGTTCTCAGCTGTCTTTTTCTCTTTTTGTTTGGTCTGGTCCTGGGGCTTGAACACAGGGCCTCACACATTCCTTTGTTTGAGAGCCTGAGAAGAAGATAAGATGTGATTCCAGAGTGTAGTAGCCTCACTGACCCCAATATTCTGGAGACTATGACATCTTGTGAATGTGGCTAGAAGTGGACAATGGCCTGGAGACAGAAGGTCAAGCTCTTTGGAAATGACTGCTTCATCATAAACCAAAACCACAGGGCTTTAACTTTAAAGATCCAGACAGGTCTGCATGTGACAAACCTGTCTCCAAGTGGGCAGAGTTTGGTTTAGAAGGCTGAGCTTCAAAAAAAGGTGCATCTCTTAAATATAGAGGAAGAGACTTGAGGAACCCATAAACCTGGTCTGGATATTTCCCATTAGTGCCAGGCAGCTGCCCCCAAGGACCCCACAAAGAAAAGGTTTTGCTTTGAAGTCAGGTCTCAGGCCCAAATGTGCTTCTATTTATAATGATAAGGAATGTGGCCCCTTTTTCGCCTCCTCTAATCCCACTTTTAGTATCTTTAGAACTTCCAAAAGATGGCGCTGGGAAGGTGTCTCAGTGGTAGAGCACTTTTGCCTTGCATGCCTGAGGCCCTGGGTTCGATTCCTCAGCACCACATAAGCAAAAAGAAAAATGCCGGAAGTGACGCTGTGGCTCATGTGGTAGAGTGCTAGCCTTGAGCTGAAGAGCTGAGGGACAGCGCCCAGGCCCAGAGTTCAGGCCCCCACCACCAGACCCCCCCCCCAAAAAAAAACGAAGAAAAAAAAAACATCAACTTCCAGAAGAAATCTCTAACTCGCCTTTTCACATAATTTCTTTATCCATATTTGATTTCTATTTCAACTTCCCAGAAAATAGGCAGATTTTGAGATTTCAAAAAAGAAACAAGTAAACCCCAAACCTACATGCTGAGGATATATTCCCTTGTTCCCCAGAAGCCAATTACACTGAGAGAATGCAGGCAGGATGTCCTCTTTGGAAGCCACCTACACCTTCTGCAAGCATGACTGCCATGACACAGCCCTAGCCACAGTCCTGCCGCTCCTGCCTGTGCCCCTGTTATCTGCACACATATATGTAAAACCACCCATGGAAATGGTTGTGAATTATATACAATTTAATCTGAGGAAACAGTATATCAAAATATTAGCATATGTTAGAAATTAGGTATAGAATAAACAATGCAGAGAGCCCAAGTGTAAAAGTCTCAGAGTTATGAGGCACACACAGCACCACAACACCCAGGATCACCAGTAGTCTCAGTTTCAGCAGGTGGAGGTGGAGGAGGAGGAGGTGATGAGGCTGGTGGTGGTGATGGTGGAATCTCTATGATGGTGTCACTGGGCTCCCTGTGAAAGGAACAGTAGCAGGCTTTCAGTATTGAAGGAAGCAACTAGACTTTTTTCCTTGTCTCCCCCTGTTAGCTAGGAATATTGAATTGCCCCCAGTCATTTACCTTTTTCTCTTCTTATGGGAAATCTCTTCCTCGTCAGAAGAGTCCCTGTCATGTAGCTTGTTGGCCATGTTTTTCTTGCGTGTGGCATTGAGAGGTCTGTACATATCCCTCAGCCAAACTGGCTGCCATAAGGAGAAGAAGCCCTCCTAGAAGAGACAAGGAGATATATTAATTCTATATTGACTTCCCTTTTCTGGGCACAGAACTAAGTCCTTAACTTGCCTGACTTGGAGTTTCTGATGAGCATTTCCTATGCAGAAATCCAAAAAAGCTCCTTGGGGGAAAAAGGAAGCAGACAATGACTCATGCCTATTTGCATGTCTCTCACAATGTACATCTCTGATCTTACTGAGAGAAACCCCTATACTTTGGTTCACAATCACAATGAGCAAAAGCTATCCTAACCTGGGGCTTGAAAACAATTGCATGCATGCAGGCAGAGGTTTCAGGAGCTCCCCAGGTCTGTCCCAAAGGCATCTACAATGCTTCTACGGAGACCTTGGCCTGTAGCATTGGTAGGATTGCTAGCCCCACTTATGCTCTCTGCCAGAAATCCCTGCACATGAACAACTGCTCAACCATTCTGGGCAGAAGCATTTATTCTCTGTAGAGCCTTTCAATTCAATCCTCTTTGGACTTAATCTCCCATGTGTCAGTAGCTGTTCTCTTAGCTGTTTTATTAAAGGCAATCTATCTTTTTTTTTATTGTGATAACTGTACAGAGTAGTTACAATTACATGGAAAGGATACAAGTACATTTCGTATCAAGCATCATTGCCTCCTCTTCGTTTCCCCTTCCTATCCCTTCCCATACTCCCCTCCTCCCCCAACCCGATCCTCCCCTCATGTCCCACCAAAGTTGTAAGGTTCATTTTTCGACATAACAACTTGTACTTCTCATTGTTGCTACGGGTCTACCTGTAACCCTAGTTAAACGATTTCTTTTTTCCCTTCCCCTCCACAAATTAAAGGAATTATATAGAAATATAAAGGAAATATGAAGGAAAGCAGAGAAACACAAATGTTACACAATATCCCTTATATATATAATCTGAAAAGAAAAACCAAATTTACAGAAACAGACAATAGAATATATGTAGTCAGGTGATACAAAGTAGCAGAAATACAGGTTATGCTGTATTTCCAAAGATCTCATATACAACACTAGCATTATAAATAAAGCTGTACAATATATGGAGTTCAAGGTAAATGGATAAATTTTAGCTGTTCTTCCCTCACAGACACAGACACACAAACACACACAAACAAATGATGAATTAGCCAGGTTCTGATAGCTCATACATGTAATCCTAGCTACTCAGCCCAAGCAGGAAAGTACATGAGATTCTTAATTCCAATTAACTACCAAAAAGGTGGAAATGGAGCTGTGTCTCTAGCCTTAAGCAAAAGCACTGGGACAGTGCCCAGGACAGTTACAAAAAGGGTTGCAGGCATGGCTTAAATGGTAAAGTACCTACTTAGCAAACCCAAGCACCTAAATTCAATATTCTACTAGTAAAGGGAAAATTAAAAACAAATTATTGATTAACTTTTTGTGTGTGTCAGTCCTGGAGCTTGAACCAAGGGTCTGCTGGGATGCTTCTCTGAGTTTTTTTGCTCAAAGTTACTTGTTGAGCCACAACTCCACTTTTAGCTTTGTGGTGGTTAATTGTAGATAATGAGTCTCAAAGCCTAGCAACTTTTTTTGTTTCTATTTCCTGGAGCTTATTTCCATAAATATATTTTATATGATCAGAAGCATACTGGCATTGAACCTTTGTGTTCCTCCCCTAAGAATAACCTCCTTTGATCTCACTGTGTATGAATGTGTAGAGTACAGTATAGTTTATCATGTCCCAGAGTACTTTAGAGCCAGCTTCTGCATATAAGAGAAAACATGTGCCATTTTGAGCTTGGCTTACCTCACTTAAGATGATTTGTTCTAAATCCATCATCCATGGCTGTGTAAAATTCCATTGTGTATAGATTCCACATTTTTAAAAAAATCTATTTACCTACTGTAGGACACCTGGGGTGTTTACACAACTTGGCCATTGTGAATAGTCAGATCAGAGTCTCAAAAACTTCCCCTGCCAGGGTTAGACCATGATCTTCAGATCTCAGCCTTGTCAGCCTCCAGTGTTAGGATTATAGGGGTGAAAACCAACTATCTTAAGAGTAAAACAAGTTTAAAATAATGTTTTTTTGGTTGGTTTTGGGGCTTGAACTCTGGGCCTGGGTGCTTTCCCTCAGCTCTTGAGCTCAAGGCAAGCACTCTACCACTTGAGCCTCAGCACCAATTCCTGTTTTCTAGTGGTTTATTAGAGATTAGAGTATCAAGGAGTTTCCTGCCCGGGCTGGCTTTGAACCCTGATCCTCAGATCTCAGCCTCCCAAGTAGCTAGGATTATAGGCGTGAGTCACCGGTGGTGCTAGGCTTAAAATAATTTTTTTTTATTTTTAATTTTTGTCAGTCATGAGGCTTGAACTCTGGGTCTGGGCACTGTCCCTCAGCTTTTTATCTCAAGGCTAGTGCTTTGAGCTCTACTTTGAGCTCCACTACTGGTTTTTGAGTGGTTAATTGGAAATAAGTGTCTTACAGAGACTTTTCTGCCCAGCCTGGCTTTGAACTGCGATCTTCAGATCTTAGCCTCCTGAGTAGTTAGGAATATAGGCAGGAGCCACTGGGCACCGACAGAATATTTACTACCTTTTAAAGATCTTATCATTAGTATCTCCATTATTACAGGTTAGAAGACTAAAGCCTAACTAGTCTAAATTAATGATTTGCAATCCCAGCCATAAAAAAGAATCATGAGAAAAACTATGGACACTAGACAAATGTCTGAGCCTAACTCAAGATTGATTTAATTGTTTTGTGATGAGACTTGGTCACCCCATGGAGTTCTAACATGCAGCAATGGCGGCAGTTCACATAAACTAAGTGATCAAGGCCACAAAGCTGACTAGGAATCAAACCTTAGTCTTCCCAATTTTCCATTCTGTAACATTAATGCTCACTTATGGAAAGAAGTTATACTAACTTGTTATTGAGCTAGTGCTTAGCTCAAGTGATAAGCTGTTTCCTAACAAGAGCAAGGCCCTCAGTTGAGTTACAAGGAAATAAACAGAAAGAAAAGGGAATAGGAAGAAAACAGCATTATTAATTACTGTGATATCTACTCCAAAAGATCAACCAATATAAAGAGTTCAAAACACAACATTATGAACAGCTATTGCTCAGTAGTAAAATATTTAAAATAGTCACACAACATTAGATGGGAACATAAAAGAAATTCCATTACCTGTCAGAACCTGGGTGAAATTCTGAAAGCAAGGAAGGTCGCCTTCGAAGCTGCTGCTGCTGCTGCTGCTGCTGTTGTTGTTGTTGCAAAAGCTGTGACGCCTGACTAACTTCAAGATGAGAAGAACAATAGTCAGGGACTGCAAATTCCTGGTATTAAAATAATCATAAATTAGCTATTAACTAAAAAGTAGGTAGCATCATGAAATTAAACCAACTACTTAAGGAACACTAAATATGGAAATAAATGGTAATAATGATTTCAATTCTTTACTCAGTAAATTCCTCCCCAATAAACCTAAAGAACCAACATTTTAATCACAGTGAAAAATAAGCCAAAACAGTAAAATCAGACTGTCCATTCCAAAATGTTTTTTCTCTGATCACAAACAAAAACATATGTTAGTGTCTCAAGATGGTGAATAAAAGGAGTTAATACAAATAAGCAAATAAACTGACAAGATTAAATTATTGTTGTTGTTGTTGTTGTTATTAAACCTGAGCATCAATAGTTCATGCCTAAATCCTAGATACTTGAGATGCCAAAAATCAAGAGGATCAAAGTTGGAGGTCATCGCAGAGGGAAAGTTCATGAACCCTTTCTCAACTATAACTGGACACAGTGGCATGCCCTATCATCCCACCTAGGACAAGAAACCTAAAATTGAAATTAGATGGACCTAGGTCTACAAGCATGCCAAAGTAGAAAGTTAGACACAATTTCAAAAAAATAAACAGGACCAAAACAAAAGAGGGAGAGATATTTAGATATGTAGATCAGGTAGAGAACACCTACCTGCTTAGTAAGCATGTACCTTTGAGCTCAAAAACCTAGTACTGGAAAAAAATCAAAGTGAAATTTCAAGATCAAGGTCTATTTATTCATCCCTCTAATAGCTTATTAGTCCCAATCTATATTGCTCAAGTAAGTAAAATCTCATTTGTTACTATGTGTTCAACATAAAATCTTAGCATGCATTCAGCGCTTACACAAATTGGTAAGCTATCAGAGTTATAGAAATCATAAAGCTAGACCCATACATATTTATAACTGAAGACATAGAGTCCAGAGAACCAACATATTAGTTAAGAATAATAGTTTTCAGGCTAGGAAGGTGGCTCAGTAGTAGAGCGCTTGTCTTGCATGCATGAGGCCTTGGATTTGATTCCTCAGCACCACATAAGCAGAAAAAAACAGCCGGAAGTGATTCTGTAGCTCAAGTGGTAGAGCGCTAGCCTTGAGCTGAAGGACAGTGCCCAGGCCCAGAGTTCAGGCCCACGACTGGACCAAACCTCTCCCCTCCCCCCCAAAAAAAAGAATAATAGTTTTCCCATCTTACCAAGGTGTTTGGGTTTTTTTTTTTGGGGGGGTCCGGTCGTGGGGCCTGAACTCTGGGCCTGGGCGCTGTCCCTCAGCTCTTCAGCTCAAGGCTAGAGCTCTACCACTTGAGCCACAGCGCCACTTCCGGCTTTTTTCTTTTTGCTTATGTGGTGCTGAGGAATCGAACCTAGGGCCTCGAGCATGCAAGGCAAGCGCTCTACCGCTGAGCCACCTTCCCAGCCCTTGTTTTTGTTTTTTGTCTTTCCTTTTCTTTTTGGTGATGGCACCAGGGCTTAAAAATCAGGACCTTCAACCGGCACCGGTGGCTCAGACCTGCACATCACCTTTACAATAACAATTTTAAAAATTAAAGTAAAAAAAACAGAAAAAAATATAAAAGAAGCAACAATACAGTGTAGCTTCCAGTTCTGATGGCAAAAGAAATGGTTATAAAAGCAAGCAAATAATAAAGAGCAAAAATCGGTGAAACAGAAACCAATGTGAAAATAAAACCAAAGCTAGTTCGTTAAAAAATCTACCATGATACAAATCTATGATTTAAGAAAGAACAAAACAAGCCGGGTGCTGGTGGCTCAGGCCTGTAATCTTAGTTACTCAGGAGGCTGAGATCTGAACATCATGGTTCAAAGCCAGCCAGGGTAGGAAACTCCGTGAGACTCTTATCTCTAATAAACCACTAGAAAACCTTAAGTGGCGCTGTGGCTCAAGTGGTACAGCGCTAATCCTGAGTTGAAGAACTGGGGGATAGCGCCCAAGCCCAGAGTTCAAGCCCCATGACCGACAGAAAAAACAAAAACAAAACAAAAACGAACAAAACACTATCAGTGGGGGGGAGGAGGATTGGGGGGGCTGGTGGGAGAGGCTGGGAAGGGATGGGAAGGGGAAACAAAGGAGGAGGCTACAATGCTTGATAAGAAATGTACTCATTATCTTGCCCATGTAATTGTAACCCCTCTGTACAGTATTTTCACAATAAAAAATAAATAAAAATTAAAAAAAAACACTATCATTGAGGAAAACACCAGATTGGCAAAAACATTGAAAGGCCAAGGGAATATCATGACAATTTATAATCGACTGAAATATTTTATTTTATTTGGTGCGGGTCTTGGGAACTGTCCCTGAGTGTTTTTGCTCAAGACTAGTGCTGTATAATTTGAGCCACAGCTCCACTTCCAGTTCTTTGGTAGTTAATTGGAGATAATTTCCTGCCTCAGCTGGTTTTGAGCCACCATCTTCAGATCGCAACTTCATGAGTAGCTAGGAATATAGGAGTAAGTCATCTGTGCCTGGTTAAATCTAAAATCTTAAGCAACAAAATGTACCCAGCCAGGCTGGGAAGGTGGCTCAGTGGTAGAGTGCTTGCCTTGCATGCATGAGGCCCTAGGTTCGATTCCTCAGCACCACATAAGCAGAAAAAGCTGGAAGTGGCACTGTGGCTCAAGTAGTAGAGCACTAGCCTTGAGCTGAAGAGCTGAGGGACAGTGACTAGGCCCAGAGTTCAGGCCCACAGCCCCCCCCAAAATAAATTAAATAAATAAATAATAAAATTTAAAAAATGTGCCCAGCTGACCGAAGGGGGAAAAACACAGAAACTGAATTACATCTATTTAAAATTACAACTATTTAAAATTTTAAGATAATTTAAATTTTTCCCCAAATTTTCCTGCCCTGCCCAGGCTGGCTTTGAACCATGATCCTCAGACCTCAGCCTCCTGAGTAGCTAGGATTACAGGCATGAGCCACCAGTGCACAGCTCCATAAGACTCTTATCTCCAATAAACCACTAGATAACCAGAAGTGGTGCTGAGGCTCAAGTGGTTGAGTTAGCCTAGCCTTGAGCTGAAGAACTGAGAGACAGCACCCAGGCCCAGAGTTCAAGCCCATGACTAACCAAAAGAAACCACAAATTGTCAATGTTATACAAATTCTACACAATAAAAAGACAGGACTGGGCTGGGAAGATGGCTCAGTGGTAGGGCGCTTGCCTTGCATGCATGAGGCCCTGGGTTCAATTCCTCAGCACCACATAAGCAAAAAGAAAAAAGCTGGGAGTGGCACTGTGGCTCAAGTGGTAGAGCGCTAGCCTTGAGCTGAAGAGCTGAGGGACAGCGCCCAGGCCCAGAGTTCAGGTCCCACGACCGGACCCAAAAAAAAAAAAAAAAAAAAACCATAAAAAAAAACAACAGGACCAAAGCTGTGGCTCAATGGTAGAGCTTTGTCTATCCCTGAGGCTTTCTGTCCAATGTCTAACAACACAAAAAAGGAGAGGAAAGGGAGGGGAGGAAGAGAAAGGGGAGAAGAATTTATGTTTTCCAAACTAACATTAAATCTCTTTAAGATAGTAAAGAGAACTAGGAATGTGGCTTAGTGGTAGAGTGCTTGCCCAGCATGCATGAAGCCCTGGGTTCGATCCCACAGCACTACATAAACAGAAAAAGGCAAAAGTGGTGCTGTGGCTCAAATGGAAGAGTGGTAGCCTTGAGCAAAAAAAAGAACCTCAAGGGCAGTGCCCAGTCCCTGAGTTCAAGCCCCTGTACTGGAAAAAAAAAAAAAAAGAAAAGATAAGAAAAAAAAATTACCTTTGCTAGCTATCACTCAGTCCAAGTTATATGGCCAGTTTAAAACTCAACCAGAACATGGAATGCAAAATATAGGTCTTAACTTAGAAATTCTAAGCAACACTGAGGCTTGGGCTCTGTCCCTTAGATTTTTTTGCTCAAGGCCAGCATTCTACCACTTGAGCCAAAACTTCACTTCAACTTTCTGATAGATAATTGAAAATAAAAGTCTCAGGGACTTTCCTGACAGGGCTGTCTTCAAATCTTGGTCCTCTGGATTGCAGCCTCCAGAGTAACTAGAATTATAGGCATGAGCTACCAGCACCCTGCTTAACTTTAATTTCTTCTTTTCTATCAATTACTGTACTCCCACCCCCCCCCCAAAAAAAACAACAGAAACATGCTCAATCTCTAAAATCTATCAAAAAAAACAATAAAAAGAAGATAATTATTCCAAACTTTGATTCCCAATCTTTCATAATGAAGAAAAAAGTACATAAAGAAAAAAGTACATTTGATTTCTGACAAATGAACATTAAATAGAAAGATAAAATACAAAACATGTATGCATTTTGCTCCTTACCTGCTGGTGGCGGGTACTAGGAAAGGTGTACTGAACAGAATGGGGAGGATAACGGCTTTGTTCTGTACTGAATGCTCCTTGGTTGGGAGGATATCCTGAACTTGACATTATCAGTAAAGAAGTCCTCACTGGGCTGTGAGATCAAGTCCAACAACCAATCCTGTTTCTAGGAAACCACCTAAATAGGATGAAGAAAAAACAATTAGTAAGAACTAAAATAAAATCAAATGGTCTTCTAGTAACATAACTATATCCATAAATAAAACTACAATCACTAGTAAAAGCCTCTCTACGTTATTTGCTTAATAAAAGTAACTAAGATTTGGTAAACTAATGGGTCTTAACCTTTACATTTAGAAAAAAGTTCTTTAATATATGGCTAATAATATAATGCATAAAGTAAAACTACTCAGGAGGCAAAGTCAGGAGAATCTTGGTTCAAGAACACCAGGCAAAAACGGTGAGAATCTCATTGCAACCAATAAGCCAGACATAGAGACAAACATCTGCAATCCCAATTAGGTAAATGACCATATAAAGGAAGATCCTGATCTAAGGTCTGCCTCCAAGAAAAAAAAATCCAAAACTCTTTGTCTGAAAACCTAAAGAGGAAAAAAAATGGTAGAAGACTCATCTAGCAAGCTCAAGGTACTGAGTGAATAAAATAAATTTTAAAAAGATTTACACTCTTGGACAGGAGTTGGCTCAGTGGTAGAATGCTTGCCTTGCGTGCATGAGGCCCTGGGTTCGATTCCTCAGTACCACTTAAGCAGAAAAAGCCGGAAGTGGCGCTTATGGCTCAAGTGGTAGAGCACTAGCCTTGAGCTGAAGAGCTGAGGGACAGTGCCCAGGCCCAGAGTTAAGGCCCCATGACCGACAAAAAAAAAAAAAAAAATTTACGTTCTAGCCAGGATATAGCTCATTGCCAAAGGGCTTGCCTAGCAAGTGCAACATCCTGGATTTAATCCCAGTGCCAAAAAAGAAAATACCAAGGGAAAAAAAAAGGCGAGGGTGGAGATACAGTTAGCAGAGCACTGGTGTCCCTGCTTATAATCCTAATTACTTGGACAGGGGGTGGGGTGGCTAAGATCTGAGGATCCAGTTTGAAGCCAGCCTGGGCAGGAAAGTCTGAGCAAGTCACATCCCCAATTAACCACCAGAAAATCAGAAGTGGCACTGTCACACAAGGTGGTAGAGTGCTAGCCTTGAGCAAAAGAGCTCAGAGACAGTGCCTGGGCCCTGAGTTCAAGTCCCACAACTGGCCAAAAAACAAAAAATAAACCTGAAACTACTATGATAAACTATTAAATTAAACTATTAAACAGATGAGTAGGGAGCCATACCTACCAGAGCTCTCTACAAATTTCTATGGGAAATAGTACATAAAAAATTAATAGCGGAGGCTGAGAAGGTGGCTCAGTGGTAGAGTGCTTGCCTTGCATGCATGAGGCCTTGGGTTCTATTCCTCAGCACCACATAAACAAAAAGAAAAAAGCCAGAGGTGGCGCTGTGACTCAAGTGGTAGAGCACTAGCCTTCAGCTGAAGAGCTGAGGGACAGTGCCCAGGCCCAGAGTTCAGGCCCCACGACTGGACCAAAATAATATAAAATAAAATAAATAAAAATAAAAAATTAATAGCACTTGGGTTTGTTGGTTGTTTAATTCAGTTTGGTTTTTTGGTGGGTTTTTGTTGTTATTGTTGTTGCTGTTGTTGTTTTGTACTCAGGCTGGAACTCAGTTACTCAAATTCTCATTGGGCTTTTTCTGAACACAGCTGGTATTCATTCATTTTTTTGGGAGGGGTGCTGGTCCTGAGTACTGAACTCAGGGTCTGGGCACTGTCCCTGAGCTTCTTTAGTTCAAAGATAGTGCTCTACCACTTAAGCCACAGCTCCACTTCTGACTTTTTTGTGCTTAATTGGAGATAAAAGTCTCTTGGACTTTACTTCCACAGCTGGCTTAGAACTGTGATCCTCAGATCTTAGCCTCCTGAGTAGCTAGGATTACAGACAAGATCCACCAGTGCCAGGGGACTTATCCACAATTCTTAACTAATTTGTCTTTTCCTGTGCTATGTCGTTTTTGAAATTATGATAGCATTTATATCCAGTAGGGCAAGTTTCTCTTTACTCCTCTGTTGCTTCTACTTTCAAAATCTTCACATTTTATATGTAATACATTTCCTCTTTTACATGACTATCAGAGTCCCTTTGTCAAGCCCCATTAAAAACACTACAAGAAGCTGGGCACTGGGCTGGGAAGGTGGCTCAGTGGTAGAGTGCTTGCCTTGCATGTGTGAGGCCCTGGGTTCGATTCCTCAGCATCACATAAGCAAAAAGAAAAAAGCTGGAAGTGGCGCTGTGGCTCAAGTGGTAGAGCGCTAGCCTTGAGCTGAAGAGCTGAGGGACAGCGCCCAAGCCCAGAGTTCAGGCCTCACGACCGGACCCCCCCCCCCAAAAAAAAAGAAGCTGGGCGCCGGTGGCTCGTGCCTGTAATCCTACTCAGGAGGCTGAGATCTGAGAATCATGGTTCAAAGCCAGCCCGGGCAGAAAAGTCCATGAGACTCTGATCTCCAATAAACTACTAGAAAACCAGAGGTGGCATTGTGGCTTAAGAGGTAGAGTGCTCGCCTTGAGCTGAAGAGTGCAGGGACAAGGCCTAGGCCCAGAATTCAAGCCCCATGACCAACCAAAACAAAAACAAAAACAAAAAACAAAACAGTACAAGATAACACTTAAATATTAATTTATAGACTGACCAAAATGAAAACAGATACCTTGCAGAGTGCTGGTAGCTGACACCTTTACTCCTAGCTACTCAGGAGGCTGAGAGCTGAGGATCTCAGTTCAAAGCCAGCTAGAGCAGAAAATTCCATGAGACTCTTACTTCCAAGAAACTGGAAGTGGAGCTATGGCTCAAAACAGTAGAGTACTAACCTTGAGTAAAACAGCTGAAGGATCATAGACAGTGCCTAAGCCCTGAGTTCAAGCCCTGTGGCTGACAGAAGCAAACAACAATAACAAAAAACACTACCAAGTATTCACATTCTAAAACATAATTGTATATTTTTGTTCTAAAGTGGCAATAATTTGTGCTGTAACTAAGACAGCAATATTTTATTTATAGGATAGAGAATGCTAAATACGATGAAAAATAAAGTATAGAATCTATATATATAAATCTTAATTACATTATAAAAACGTATAATTCCCATAACAAAGCCTTTCTATCCATACATATTTTAGAATTCATATACAGTTAGGATAAAAGAGCAAAATCAAAAGAAAACAAAATTCAATATGCCAATTAGACCCAATTTCCTATTTTAATCAAATTATTTACCCAATTAGGTTTAGTTTCGTTTTGTCAATCGTGGGGCTTGAACTCTGGGCTTGGGCACTGTCCCTGCTCTCTTCAGCTCAAGGCCAGTGCTCTACCACTTAAGCCACAGCACCACTTCCAGTTTGCTAATGGTTTATTGGAGATAAGAGTCTCACAGACTTTCCTGCCTGGGCAGGCTTTGAACTATGATCCTCAGATCTCAGCCTCCTGAGTAGCTAGGATTACAGGCGGAGCCACTAGCACCTGGCCCCAATTAGGTTTATAAAAACAAAATTTTTAACAATGCTCAACAGGAAATGTACCCATTACCTTTCTCATATAACTGTAACCTCTCTGTACAGCATTTTTACAATAAAAAAAATACAATAAAAAATCCCAACAACATAAAAAGAATTTTAGAAAAGTGGTATGGCTCAGAAAAATAACTTCAATTTTGTGTGTTACTAGGTAATAGGCGAGATAATAGGCATATCACAGCCGGGCGCTGGTGGCTCACGCCTGTAATCCGAGCTATTCAAAAGGTTGAGATCTGAGGATCGAGGTTCAAAGCCAGCCCGGGCAGGAAATTCCATGAAACTCTTATCTCCAATAAACAACGGGAAATCTGGAAGTGGCACTATGGCTCAAGTGGTAGAGCACTAGCCTTGAGCTTAAGAGCTGAGGGACAGCACTCAGGCCCAGAATTCAATCCCTACAACTGAAAAAAAAAAAAAAAAAGGCATATCACGTTTTTTCACTCCTGCTGTAGAAGTTATCGACAAGGACTAGCTCTGCCTGTCAGCTCAAAGCATGGGAAGTCAGCAAATGTGAGGTCACGCAGACAATACTGATTAGATAAGTAATCTGAACAAAAGATAGATTCACTAATTCCTCTAGAGTTAGCTGGCAGTGGCAAAAATTTAAGAAGCTAATTTTTTTTCAGCGATGCTCTGCAGCTCTCTGGGCAAGTGAATTACACTGAAGGCTAAAATATTTAGAGGGATGATACATATTCAAGCCACCTGGGGTTGTTCCAGGTAAAAGGCTTTTGAAAAGCCAATGTGGAGGTTTTGTTGATTGCGGGGGTAGGGGCGCAGGGTGTTTCGAAATGTATTATTTGTATGACTTAAAGAGGTTTGGGGTGTTTTTGGTTTTGTTGGGTTTGGGTTGTTTTTTGTTTGTTTTGCCAGTCCTGGGCACTGTCCCTGAACTTCTTTTGCTCAAGGCTAGCATTCTACCACTTGAGCCACAGTGCCACTTCCAGCTTTTTCTGAGGAATTGAACCCAGGGCTTCATGCCTGCTAGGCAAGCACTCTATCACTAAGCCACATTCCCAGCCCCTTTTTTAAAGAGTTTTTTTTTTTTTTTGGTCTGGGGTACTGAAAGTGGCTCAAGGAACACAGTGCAGCTGTGAGTGGAAAACAAGCCAAAAAGCTTAGCAGAAGTGTAAAGCACTGAATTCAAGTGCCAGTACCAGCACCAAAAACAAATAAATAGAGCCGGGCACCAGTGGCTCACACCTGTATTCCTAGCTAATCAGGAGGCTGAGATCTGAGGATCACGGTTCAAAGCCAGCCCGGGCAGGAAAGTCCGTGAGACTCTTGTCGCCAATAAACCACCAGAAAACCAGAAGTGGCGCTCTGGCTCAAGCAGTAGAGCGCTGGCCTTGAGCTGAAGAGCGCAGGGACAGCGCCCAAACCCAGAGTTTAAGCCCTATCACCCACAAAAATAAATAAATAAATAAGGAAGTGTCCATGGCTCTTGTCTATAATCCTGACTACACAGCTTATACCTTCTAATCTTAAAAAAAAATAAAACAAAACAAAACAAA